TAAATATTATATATTTAATAGGAAAATGGATAAAAACCCAGATTAAGTATCTTGACCAAGCAGTGGGTTCATTTAATTCTTATAATAAGAGCCTCTGAATGGGAAAATATTGTTTGAAAAAAAAAAAAACCTAATTATGTATATATTTATAATTAATTCGAGACCTCAATTGGCCGTTACTTCTGCCCATACTATTCCGCTGAATATTTTTTTTGAAATTTTGTCGAATTATAAATATTTGATATTTCCCCGCGAGATGATACCAATCGTCGATATTGACTACATTGTAAACCATAGGGATAAAATTTTGCAACACAAAATTGCAGGACCAAAGAATCAATTCCTATTTTTATATTTAGAAATAATTTAATTTTGTTGCAAGAATTTATCCCTTTTGCTTGGAATTTATTTTATAAAATTTTATTCCTATAATTTCTAAATTTTTATAATATATAATAGAATTATATTTTATATTTGGGATTTATAATTTTATATTATATCTAAAATTTATAATTTTATATTATCAAATTATTTTTATATAATCTTATTTTTTAATTTATATTTTATTATTTTATAATTTTAAATATTAATAATTAAATATTATAATATATTATAATTTCTTTATCTAATATATTATTATCGATTTCTTTATTTATATATTTTTTTATTTTATATTTTTTTTATAAATAAATAAAACATTACATCGAAAAAAGCAATCTATATTTCCGTTATTTAGTTTATAAATTTCCCAAAAAAAATCTAAGGACCCAAATTCGAAGCTCTAAATCCAAAATTTAATTTATATATCTTTCGTTTTCTCCAATCCGAATCTATAAATCCCTACAAATCGAATTTATTAATCTATAAATCTAAAACCAAATGCCTCAAAAAAGAATTTATTTTTTAAAATTTATTTATATATATTCGATATATATTTATTATCTTAATATATTAAAAAATTGAAATATAATAATAATTAATTAATTATAAAATAATAGAAAATAATATATAGATATAAATAATTATAAATGATATATCATTATATTAATATATAATATACAAAAAAATATGTTAATCTAATTTAAATAATTCATATAAAAAATATTTATTTTTATAAATTTTTATTAATATATATAAAATATTTCTAGGACAATAAGTACCCCGCCCGTTGCCTAATTGGTTCGATTTCGGGTTCGGGTTCGGCTTCGGGATGGATCCTATAGGTTCCTGAGATATGGATCTTATAAAGGATCCGAGATATGGCTCTTGTACATGTGCTTTGCAGTTATCCTATGAGAGTTTCATCTTTGATTTCCCCGTATATTGATTCGACTTCGGGTTCGGGTTCTGTTATGGGAGATATATTTGGAAAAGGGGGTGGGAACGATCGATTTCCACTTCGATTTTGATTTTGGGCATGGATATACGTAGAGGTACGTGAGGCATAGCCAAGCAGGACGGAAGCAGGGAATGGGACTGGAAAGGGGGCGGGAAGATCGATTTCGACTTCGGGCTCGACTTCGGGATGGATCCTGGAGGGGATGTTATTGGATCTTGTAAAGGATCCGAAACATGGCTCTTGCGCAAATGCACAGTAAAGGATTCTCAATCATGGATCTTGCAGATAACATAGGGCTAGAGCCATGGATCTTGCACAAATGCCTTATTCTTACGTTATGCTATTCTTATCGTGGATTTTCCCCTTCCTTGTTGCGCGGAAGGCGATGACAGCGGCTAGGGCTGAATCAAGCTGCCTGCGGCGGTAAGCTGTGTGCAAAGGTAGGATGGAAGGAAGGAATGAATATGTTGGATATACAATTTTTAGCGGCTTCGTTGTTTTCTATTTCATATCTGTATTTTGAAAAAAAAAAATCGCGCAGAGAAGCACGAACCACAGCAAAAGAAATTGGCATCCTTCAGCACTTTGGCTCTCTGTCCTGTGCCGTCGAAGAGCCAACCACAATCTGTTTCGACAGTGTTGATGTCTACGATGGTATGCATTGTCGCACTGTTTGGGTTGACAACAATTTGGTCCTCTGGAGATGCCCTCCTCTTGAGAAGCTGAAGTGAGTTGCAGCTCGTACACACG